AAGTAATTATAGTGATTGTAGAGGGAAAAAAATCGTCCAAACTCCTTGGCTGCAGTAATCTCCTGGCTTCTGATTAATTTTAAGACTAATAAACTAAGTGCAAACAAAAAGATGTTAGTGTGGATAACACTGGGTACCTGGAGCTGGTGCTGAGAGATTAGCAACCTGCAAAATTCATCAGAACTGGGGTCCTGCAGGACTTTGCTCCCAGGCAGACATTCCAAAGCAAAACTCTGCATTTCTCTCTCAGTTCACCTCCATGTCCTTCCATCTTCTAATGATAACTAGATTCAAGAACTGAACTTTCCTCCATGTGTACCTTGACTCTATTTTAAGTCTGTTTCCAGTTAGAAGGACCAAACCAGTTAGTTTCTTTCCATGGCAGAGCTTAGTTTTCTCGAAGAGGCCCAGGTCATCTAGAATTCAGCAGTGACTGGTGATGATGGGGGAAGGGGAGGACACCCTTCTAGGATCGGGGGAGCACAGTGAGATCAGGACCCAGTGAGAGCAGTCTGCAGGGTGAGGAGCAACTGTCAGAATGATTCCCAGGGACGGACGCCAGGCCATCAGCACCCAGGCTAACTAAACCTCCAGTCCAGTGAGACCATCACAGCCACAGGTCTAATGGTGTTCTGTTGACATCAACAGGCGCTTAGAGAAGTCTCTGAGTGAAACAGTGAAGTGGGTTATTTTAAGTGCTCCTCTCACTGCTCAAGAACACAGTCAGAAACATACAGCCACATACAAGCACCCCAGGTGTGTCCAGCCCTGTCTCAGGTGGGCAGCCTTAGCGCCAGTGCTCGCCATGCTTCTTCCCTCAGCCAGTTTCTCCCCTGCCTGCCAGTGAGCACTCACTTTTCTAAAGGCTATTTTGATCTAGGTGGAACCCTGGTCAAGATCACCATGAAATAAAGAAGACATTTGGATCTGGAAACAAAAGAGGAACTGGTGGGCAAGATGATTCTCAACTCACCCTTGAGGTCAGGTCCAACTTCAGACTCAAAGAAACCATGGGGATGGGAATAGACGTCCATCTTCCCTGCCAACTTATTATGAGCATCACATCACACAGGGGATGCGGTTCTAACTATAGCACCACGTGGGAGAGGCAGCTCATCGTTGCTACGTGTACTATTTAAATAAAGTTGAGGAAACAGTGGCATTATGAATGAACCCCCAACCACCAGGATATAGGAGGGGACCACACAGACATGAGATGCACGGAGCTGGCTGCAACCTGCTTTCTCCAGATGAGAAGGAAAAAAATTGCGTTTTTCAAAAATGGTTCAAGTGGCTAAGGAGGTTCCATTTTTTCTCCTTATGTATAAAACTCTCTTTGCAGACATTCAAATAAACCACATACCACTCCACTGTAACTAGTCACCCACCTAAAATCCTATATTCTCTTTTATATTTTCATGACCAGAAAATTATGTAAGTTATTGATCTTCATAAAGATCTAGAAAATGAAACCCAAGAGTTTCCCATCTTCTGCATAGAAATCATTCCCCTTGGCAAAATCCAGCACTCCTCCATGGCTGCCAAGCCTAAGCTTGCAGGCTAATCAGCAATGTGACTGGCCAGCAGCTCCTCAGGGGTCCTATCAGGAGGTTCTACTGAGTGTGTGGTTTTTCTTGTTATTATTTGAACAGGCATTTCTATAACAAAATATTGAAATGTCTGATCTTCTGCTATGTGCAAGTTATACTACCTCTGGTAACTACTAAAAATATGGATTAATTCTCTTTAAATCATGTTTATTCCATTTTTCCTGAATCTTTAAATGTATGTATTTTTTTCCCAAGAGTATTCTTGAGTGACATTTTAAGTACAAAGGAAGTAGTTAGATAATAGATCATTGATTACTGGATTTGTATAGTAAGCAACATATCCTACAAAAGGTCAAGGCTTTGGAAAAATGAAGAGAATTTTTTTTTTACTCTTGGCTCAATTATTATTTAACCTGTAACTTTGGGCTCTTTACTTAAACTAAAAGAGTCTCTTTGTTTAAAACATTGCATAATACTATCTACTTTGCAGGTCTATCACGCAAATTAGAGACAAATACAATAATACAGAGGTAAGGCAGGGAATAATACATCACAACAAACACATAATCATTACTAGGACTGATATGATTATAAAATGCCACACAGAATTCCTGAAGGTTGTGGCACCTATGGAATCAAGGTGTGAAGGTTCAAATACAATTGTCACTCATTCAACATGGTGGCTCTGTGCCCTGCGAAGGGAAGGCCCCATATGAGGGGTGGAAATACTGCAGACAGATCAGGCAGGCGCACAGGCACTGCAGGGCGTGCTCAGCAGGGAATGGATGACTGCACCATGACACTGAGGATTCGCAGCTCAGGGTACGGAGTGACAGGAGAGGCCACATAGTTCCAGGACAACGTAAGAGAGGGGTCAGTGATGCGCAGAGTAGGAAACAGTGTGACAGTGTGAAGGGAATAAAAGTTTAAGGTTAAATATCAAAAGTGGAACAGTCTGGGAATGGAATAAATCACAGGGGGTCATAGGATGGCCATCTGAGGTGAGGTGCTGAGACCACTGGTCTACCAATGGGACACCCTTCCCTGGAAGTGCTGGTCCTGGTGAATAGGTGCCTGACTTAATCTCAAGGTGACTCTATTCTAATCTGGTAATGATAGTGACTCTGCATTAATAGGGGTGAAGGGGGAGGGGAAAGTGTTGGCCAGACCTGGCTTCCACACTGCAGGACGGAGGGTCACACACGTGCATTCCTGTACGTGAATGAGGATAACAGAACATTGATAATCAAGTCCTCTCTACGTATGAGCGAACCTCACAACAAGGAAGAAACAGATACTGTTATGCCAGTGAGCAGTCCAAGTTGACCCAGCAGGGAGGAGGAAGCAGGGCTCTCGGGCTGCCTCCAGGGTCATCTTTGTAAGCTCACCTCACACGTGTCCCCACGACAGCCACCTTTCCTGGTGTCTATCCCCTTCCAGGCTCAGCTCAACACCTGGGATTAACGTGCCACCTAATCCCTACAAAGCTCTACTTTGGTTGCATATATTGAGACAAACGTTGCAGGGGCTTTCTTTGTGTTTTTCTATCCCCGCTGCTCATGGAGTATAGTATTAAATGAAAATATCTCTTGATTCAAAAAATAAAAAAGAACCAGCTGCAATGAGTCCCACCTCACAGCTCCCCAACATCTGGCAGGCAGCAAGGTCCAGGTATTGGCCTCCTCCTCTTCCTCCACTGTGACACTGCCCCTCAATGCCCACATCTGACGGGAGACTGTATCTCCTGTCTTATCCCTGTGGATATTCGGGTATATGGCCCTTAATGTAAACATATCCACACAGCAAAAAAGGGCAAAACCCTTCTACAGCTTGTAAAGTGAGAGGGGACAGTCTGGGTCCAAATTCCTGGCCAACGCTAACACGCTCCTGTTTTCTTAGACTAATGACTGAAGCTTTGAAGCCTCATTCTTCTCAAATCTAAAACGGGGGACAATAATAGTACAATAGAACTTAACCAGAGTTTTTCTGTGAAATGATTAAATGAGGTCACTTATGAAAAACTTAGCATGGAGTTCCACACTAACTTGTTGGTGCTGTTTGTTTTAAGAATTCACCAGGAAGTTAGAGTAGGTCATATCTACCCTCTAGAACACTGGGATGTGACTGCAGATCAGAACGGGAAAGAGACAGGCCATCCTTTTGGAAAAGGCAGAGGAGAGGAGCAGCTTGAAGGAAATCTTGTGCTGGACCCAGGCCAGCACTTCTGCCTGGAGGATGCACTCAGTGTCCAATGACAGCCTGGAAAGAGAGGCCCCTGCAACTGCTTGGGTGAGACCTGGCCTCTGCTCACCCGCGCTTCCTAGGTGGGCTTCCCTGTGTGGCTGCAATGTGGCGTCACAGGAAGATCCCCTATCGCACTTTTAGTGGTGCTGCCATGTCCTCGGCTGGTGGCAATGCATCTGTGACTCCTCCTCTAGGAGGTCTCTCTCGAGGTCTTCTATTACCCATTGTCCCTACTCTGGCCTTGGCTCCTCACTGCCTGCAGAGTGAAACCAGAACGCTCTGCCTTCGTGGGGTCTCCCCAGGCTGGGATGATCACCCCTATCGGAGCCCTCAGTGCCCCAGCATTTTGTCCTGTTTTACTCTTCTCTGTGCTCACACATCTGTGCTGGCCAGACTTGCCATGCCCTGCCCACTGCCGCATCTGCATCACCTGCCACGTCCCTCACATCTCATCACAGGTCAGCAAAGCTCTTCCCCCGGGCCAGAGAGTGGGTAATTCAGGCTCTGCAGGCTGTCCAGCCTGTGTCCCAACGTGCAGAAATGGGTGGGTCTGAGTCCTGAACAAATTTTATTATTTATGGACAATGGGACTGAAATCTCATGGAATGTTCATGGGACACACAGTATTTTTCATCTTTTGATTTTCCCCAACCATTTAAAAATGCAAAAGTAACTCCTGGCTCAGGGGCTGCACCTGAAACAAGCAGCAGGCCACAGCAGACCTTTGTTGGGACCTCTGCTGACCATGATCCTTAACTTCCTTTTTCACTTTTTTTTATTGAGGTGTAACTTACAGTTAGTGACCTTCTGTGCATTGATCTTTAGTGCAGAGTCTGTTGGACCTGGAGCATGGATGAAGCCACTCAGGCATCGTGCAGCTCCAGATGCAAAACCTTTCCAGAACCACAGAGGCCCCTCCTTGCAGGGTCTCATCTAAAACCCAGCCCCACCAACGCCCAGCCCCTTCTGTTACAAAAGCAGTCTCCACACTGCCTTTCGGTGGGAGAATGACCGGGCACCACCAGTAGAGAGAAATGCGAAGGCAAAGCTTTATGTTAAAATGAAGCTTCAAGTCATAAGCTGTGACAAACACCCAGAAGAGTGCCTTATTTTCAGCAGTGGGCGACTCGTGCTGACAAAGAGTGAGGGGCAGCTCGCCAGTCGCCCCTGTGCTGGCTGTCCCGTGGTGGCACTGCTCGTCCTTACCTGGGCCAAGGTGAGCGTGGCTTGCCTGCAGGTGCCACACCGAACTCGGAGCTTCCCCGGCTGCACCCCTTGACAGGGGCCTTTGCAGTACACATAAAAGCTGTTGTAGGTTGGTCTACCTGTGGGCAAAAGCAGAGGAAGTAGCCGTCAGTGCCAAATCCAAACTGAAACCAGTTCTCTTCATCAGCTTGTTAGAGGAAGGTTTTAAAACTAACTCTTCAGGGACATTTTGAAACATTTTTGGAATAAATATACCAATGAGGAGATGATAATTAAATCTAGAAAATTTAGTTTTATGCTCAAATGAGTGAAAATCTTTTCTTTTCCTTGCCAATGGTTCTATGACTTACTCAATAAAGTAAGCAACCTGCAGCCAGGAGAGGGGCCAACTCTGTTTGCAGCACAGTGAAAGGAAACGCGCTCTTTGCCGCTCATGTTTGAAAGGGGGACAGGGAGTGCAGAGATCACGGTTCCTGAATTCTATTTCATGCTTCTGAACACAGTTATGAAGGCTCCAGCCTTTTCCTCTTAAAAACTTTATCTGCATAAACAAAACAGCCCATTTCTCATGATATGTGTGATAGGATCACGCTGGCTGGTTTTCCAAGGAACTTGCCAAAACTCAGACACACATTAAATGAGAGCCCTGAACCCTGGGGAGCTCCACAGTTCCAGCAGCCATGGGTAGAAACGGGTGCTCTGCATTTCATTAATACTCCCTCTAGCCAGATAAGTGCCATTCAAATAGTATAGTTTCAAGAGCAAAAGGTGAATGGAAAAGCGGATTCAATAATTAAACATCTCTGATCATTTCTCTAGAATGTCAACATGCAGGGATTATGTTACTCCTTCAATTAGGAGAATCCTTTAGGATGGTCTCATACTTGGATATCTGAGGACAACTAACTTTATTCAGAAGCACTGATCAATAAAATAATAGTCTTTCTAAATTTCTAAGTTTCTACAATTACTTAGTAGTTATTTCTTCTAATCCTTACCTGTTGCCGGGGAGGGGGAGTAGCAGGAGGCAGGTGGTGTCACATGACGTGACCTGGCATAATAGTTTATTTAAAATTTTATTGGTATCATCAGAAACATCTATAAATAATTAGCATTTCTTATGATTATGAATGAGAAAACAGCCTCCCAAATGCATATGGTCTACTCAAACAGATAGTACAGATACAATGAGAAATCAACAGAAGTTTCTGGAGTCCTATGCAGTTCTATTTGTTTCCCTAATTTATTGGAAAAAGACTACGTATACATTTTGGATTGCTATTTGTTTAACCACCTTTACCAATAATGCAGGTGATTAAACTTTGTGAAATATAAGATACAATAAAGATGTCAAGTTTTATAAATTTGTGATTTATAATATATTTTATACTTATTAGTCTCCAGAGATAAATATGTAGCTTTTTTTGAAAAGAGGAAATGTAAATGTATGTTTACACTGATGGTAAATAATTTTTTTTTAATACCCCCAGTAACATCAATGCCTGAATGGGGGAGATATCCAGGTTTATGATGTCACATTATTATTGCCAAATATAATAATTACATAAGATATATTCTTATGGTTTATATACCTTAAATGAAACATAGAACCATTATCAATGTTATATAAATAGTCATAAAATAATAAAGGACTGACTAGCAAAAGATCACAAGAACGTGACAATTTTAACTGTAGTAACAACTTGGTGAAGGTGGCAGGAGCCCTTACTGCTAAAACCTTTATCAGCAATATGAACAAATCCAATTTCACAGTTTTTATAACCTACTGTGAAGGTTAAACAACAAAGAGGAGGAAGAAATAGAACAGGGGAAGCGAAGCTTTCCGAAGGGGAGTCAGGGTTTCAGGGGCCAGCACTGTGCAGAGAGGAGATGCGCAACCGCTTAGGGGAGGAGGAGAGGAAAAGGGGCGGGACCGAGGTCCTCCCCGCAGGGCAACAGCGGCCTGGGGCCTGGGTATTATCCAGCCCAGGAGCCTGAGGCCGCTGCCAAGACAGGGAGCCCTCCCCTCCGCGCTTCGAGCTTCACTGAAGTCCTTGAGAAGTTATTCAGAAACCCTGCATGCCCACGTGTGTGCCCTAGAAGCGCGAAGCGCGGGTGACGCGCCATCCATTACCCACTGCTTCCCACGGCCGGCCGCAGGGTGGGATTCATGGCCAGCCTGGGGAAGACCAAGGTCAGGCCGGTCCCCCTGCCGCTCATCCCGCTGCCGGCTGCGCTCCACCAAGCAGGGGGCCTCAGGTACACCAGAGGCCGCCCTCCCATGGCTCCCCTGCCTGTCTGGCCGCAGAACACAATTTAAACTTGGCATCCTCTGCGGCGCGCTGGCCTGGGCGCACTGGACAGGCATAAAGCCACACACCACCGGGAAGCTCCCGGGCAGCGACCCGAGGCCGAGGTTCCACCTCGCAGATGGGGTCATCGTGGCCAGGCACCTCCAGGGCCCGAGGGCCTTCCCCTGGGCACGCAGAAGTCCCCCAGAGACCCCAGGCTCCCGGCCTTTCCTCTCCTAGTCCACGCTCACACGGCAGAGCCTTCCTGACCCCAAGTCACTGGGGCAGCGCCTCCTGCTCCCCTCATTTTCTCTAATAAGTTCAAACTTAGAGAAATATTACAGAGATTGTGCCAGTCACGTCTTTCCAGTTTGTCAATTAAGACCATTTTGGCACGTTTGTTTGGGCACATCCTGTGTGTGTGTGTATGTGTGCGCGTGCATGCGTGCCCACATACACACATATACTATATACTATGTAGATATATATTTACTCATATACTATATACTATATATTTACACGTTTTTCAACTAAAGCTTTTGCACTGAAGTTGTAGATGCTATGCTTCTTCATCTTAAATTGTTCAGCTCCTTAAAAGAAGAACTTTAAATAATAAAGAATATAATAGATATATTTCAACTATATACAGATCTACATCTATCTACAGATCTATATCTATCTATCTATACAGAACTTCTTGCACCGTTTGGTTAGCTCAGTGGCTCTATTTATAGGATAATCAAGCACACTTGAAGCATATTTTGCAGAACTCTGTGATGGTTTACAAGCTATTGAGCCAAGAATGCTTGTGACTCTTTGACCCAACCCATTTAGGTTACACTTAGTGAAGCCTAGTGCAGCCAGCCTCTGACTACGGCAAGCTGCAGAGCGTCCCAGCCCCTCCAGAGGCAGGGTGGTGCACAGCACACCCAAACTTGACTTGACTGGGAAGCCTGTGCATCTTGGGAAACTGTATGGCTCAGGGGGAAAACATGTAAAGAAGAATTCCGAGGAAGGATGTACAGGCTTGATCCACAGTGGGCTAACCTGCTAATGTTTGGCTCAGCTTCCTCAGGAGCTCCTGGGGAGCCTGCCCAGGGGCCAGTCCTCCCCTCACACAGAGCCATCAAAGGGTGAACCTTCTACCCCACTGCTATGATGATTTTGCAAGTGAGTTCTATTGATTTCAATCAGAAGTTCGTTTTCTTTTCCTTGCAGGGAAGTTAAAAGCACAGTGAGCTGTGGCCCTCTGAGAGGCCAGGAAGGTGAGCCAGAGCACAGGGTCCATTGGTTTCTGCCATTCCTTAGCATTATAATTCTATCATCTCTAGTTTTTCTCTCCCACTTTTCTCATTGATTCTTAGTCGAATCTCTTTTCTCTTTATTTTCTTGCTCTAAAAATTTGCTAAAGCATTAATACTAGCAAACTATCAAGGAAACCCCACATTTAAAAAGAAATATTTGCTTTGTCCTTTTGTAAAACAGCATAATCTTCAGATATTTATTTTTTTTAGTATATTTTAGATAATGGGCTAAAATCCTGAAAAAATCATTTTTCGATTTTTTCATTATACTTCATTTTTGGTGCTGTGGATTGAACCCAAGGCCTTGCACATGCTAAGCAAGCCCACCCAATACCAGCCCCAATGACTCTTTAAATAAGATATAGAAATTTAGGAAAAGTCATTCTGATTCTGAGGAAAGTTTTCCATGAAACTCAGAAGTTTCCATGATGGCCTGTCACAGCAAATCACGAGTTTAATTGATTGGATAATTTGTTTTCAAGGGAGATAGAGAGTAAGATGCAATATGTCTTATACCTAGGTAAAATAATGTTCTGTATCAACATACTCTAACAGAGCGAAGCAGCGGCGACACAATTGATATAAACTGATATTTGTCTCACTTGAGCACATTACAATATTTAAGTAGAACATCACTGCCCAGGAGAGCTTCCTGTTGATGGAAATGTCCTTCATCTGTTCCCTCTCACCTACATACATAGACTATGTGGCCATTAACTACATGTGGTTATTGAGAATTTGAAACTCAGCTAGAAATTACCCTTTTTTGTTTTATTAGTTTTAAGCAATTTCAATTTTAAAGTCTGTCTCGATAGCAGCTACCCAACTGGACAGCACAAAAATTTTAAGTGCCCCATATCTGGCCACCCTCTGGCATCAGCACTATAGACAACAAACAATGCTAAAGAGGCTCTTCTGCCACCATGAAAAATACACTGGCTCATTTTAAACTAAGCCAATAGTAATAATAGATGTTGACCAGAGAGAAGGGGAAAGGGGAGGTCTGAGTCTGAGGCACGGAGGTCAGGTAGGTGGGTTTGCGTCCTTCGCAGTGCTACAGAAGAACAGGTCTTCTATCCTGTGGTGGGCTGTTTCCTTCCCCAAGTGGATCAGCTCCTGACTTTAGCCTAGGCAGCAATCATGCCACCCCGACTCTTATGACCACCTCTGAACACTGACCTGAGATGTAAGGATGGTCACGTTCATCACTGGACTAAATGACATTTCCAGAGAGCACTAACCTTGGCACTAGAGGAAGGTCTCTAGTAAGAAAATGACCTGTGCTGAAGTTCCAGTTGGAAGAGCACTTCTTGTAAGAATTCTTTCTTGTGTGTGCCCATAAAGATATTTCTTCCTAAAAACTAATGTCTATGTGCAGGAAAGCAGACAGCTTCATCCTGTCATCTTTAAACAATTGTCCTCTCCCATATTGACATGAAACTGTTAGTTTCAGGCTGAACATTGCACATGGAATAAATATAAAGTGCTCCACCTGGGTCCAATCAGCATGGACTTCCTGCATCG